AAAATAAATGACAGGAAAGGGAATAAATCGATGAAGGTTAATTGAAATATCCATAATGAAACGTAGCGACAAGAAGGCAGCCAATAGGGAGTTTTCAAGTCGTGATCAGATCATGTTCAGGTCATGATTTATACATGCACTGACATGAGAACCTGATTGGAAAAATTCCTCATACAAGAAATCTGATTAGTTCATTTATGGCTTCACTTTCTGAGAGTCTTGTAAATGCATATATGTCATGTATTTGCCCGATAAGTTGTCGCTGTTATTGCAGTCACAGTCCGTCTTTATCTTCTGATTTTTTCACAGCTGAGTGAAGCAGAAGGTACTGAGGGGGGTCAGTCGTAAAGTTATTCGGTTGAGGTGTCTATTGAGTCGTCAGTATCATTATACCTACGCGCGCAACCCCACCACTCGGTCACAACACATAACCAGGAGGTGTTCACGTCTGATCCAGTGCGACTGATTTTGGATATTATGATAAACAGTCTTCAGTCACTGATTCTTATCACCCCAAGAACCGAAACCAGATGGCTTATGCCACTGTTAACAGCTCAAACTAACAGACAAAAATTTCATGAACTGGTGCTTCCTCTTAGTCCGGTTATCCTACTCCTAGTTTGAATAAAATTACATGACTGGTACTCTAAGCTCAACAGCACTCACACGGTAATTTCACCGAATGCAAGCAGTGCTACAAAGACATCTGTGGTCAGAAACCTGTAATCCCTCCATATCTTCTAATTTATGAAATGTTTCGTGGCCATATAACAGGACAGAGTAGACTGCAGTGCCGTACACTCTCCATTTGATAATTAATTGAATTCGGTGCAGACCAGTCATGAAGTCCCATCTAACATATACGAAATGCACGTCAGATATGCTGCGATTCATGCTCAAGTTATTCGCCACAATCTGCACTGAATCACTCACTATCTTCTCTTATTTTGGACTATGATATGTGTGGACTTCAAGTCAATTTGGTGCCTCCCTGAAGGTGAGTTAATCCCTAACCAAGTCGGACTTGATGACAGTTATTCAACGACGCCATTGGATGGAGGTTGCACTATATCGTGAACAGATAGAAGTAGGAAATATGGACCGTACGATTCGGACCAAGTGGCTCGGGGGTAACTTGCTGGCTACAGGACCTTATAGTCCTGGATACGACCCGCAACAGGACCATGGATGCGCCCTGCTGAGGGGTCACGTACTGGGGCAAAACAGCAGTCCAGTGCTCCCAGGTTCCCATCTTCCCTCCAGCTGACGTCATTCTGTAATGAATAAAAACCTGTGAACCCTAAGATGTAGGAGGTATGTGGGGTCAGTTCCATTAGCATCTGTATAACAAAGTTAAGTGGAAATGATGACGAAACGTAAACCTGGTGAACGCCACTGACCGTCGTTACTTTAGATGACAACACTGCCTCATATAGCTATGTAATTTCCAGTGAAGAGCTGCGATTAGCATTGCGTGCTTGCTCAGCACTCCGTACACAGTCAGACATTGCCACTATACCTGCAGATCGCTTTTACGTAAAACTAGGAAATGACATTTAAGTATTACTGACACCTTTGGCACTCCTAGTCAAGGTGAACAAACGCATTTCCCATCGACAGCACTTATGTTCATGTATACATACAGAAAGAGTATAGTTTAAACAGTTTAGATAACTGCTCATTCACAAAGGAAGGGAAGTTTTTCATTTTAAAATAATTATGTACTATTTTGTTGTCAATACCTATGCAGAACAAAAAACATTATTTGTAAAAAGAAAGAGAAAACAGTAACATAATTAAAAGTTAACATGATTTTAACTGTGCGTATACAAGTATATGTAGATAGGTGGAGGAAATAAACTGTAACTCCACTTTGGTGAATATCATTCAAATAGCTCAACAGTCCTTTAGAGTCACTTAGCCCATATTTGCAGGTTAAAGTTCATGTTTATGTGTATGTATAAAGAAAAGCATTTTTCAAAATCCTAGTTATCAAATATGTTAGAATTGTACATGTTTACATATCGTTAACGATATTCATCAAATGTCACTTGTCTGTAAATTGAGTAAGTTTTCTTAAGAAATGATCGAATATTCAGAAAGTGAAATGAGATAATATTGCACTGCGTTTTAGCACAGAGAAAGGATAAAAGAAATGTATTTTTACTGTGATCCACACGAGATGAACTAAATTAAATTTCACACCAGCGAAATTCGCAAAATAGAATTAGAATGTGTACACTATTAAATTTCCTTCAAATGCTTAACATTTAATTGACTAAACTGATTTTGAGAGTCAAAGTTTGCGTTTTATAAATGCACATTTGTTCAGTGCTTCAAAAGTTGAATTATCGGTAATGCTTTAATTCAACCTGTAAAAGTAGCCAAAGATTTGAACAGAAAGAAATCAGGGGGTTTGAACAGAAGTTGGATCTCGGTCGAAAAATCGTTTGAATGTAAAATTCGGAAATGGTAATTGAGTATTACTGGAAGAAGAACAATCTAAGCCTTGACTGTTTTCACTGCTATTGAGTGTACGTTCATCGTCAACAGGATCGAAGTTGGATGTATCTAACTCATCACGAATCTTTATATTAAAAATAAATATAAAATAAACAGTCACATTTTACAGCACTAAAACTAAATCAGGAAAGAAAAAGTAAAACGAAGTTTCCAAAATAACTTTACAAGCAAAACTTACCCACTATCAAGCAAATAGTACATTTCAGTTAGTGTGTGGTTTTAAATGTCGATTAAATAGGTTCTTTCTGAGGTGAGTATAAGATCCAAAAGAGACTGACAGAGAAATATATTACACACAGTAGAACGCTAACTTCAGTGGTACTCAAGACAACATGGCGGACACAAAATCAAGACTGATCAGTAGTGAGTTAAATTAGGCGTAAAACAGAAAATAATAGTTCCCTCAGAATAGTTCCAGTTGGAGGTTTCTGAAGGAACGATTATTGCTGTTTACTGATAAAGTTTATTTCACATTTAAAGGTGAACGCTTCCAAAAAGTTAAACAGGAAAGTTACATTTTGTCGCTTGTGATGACTATAACTTTTTGGGTATAAAACAGTTCACTGACTATAGTTTCTCTGAGGTTCAGAAAACTTTATAACTTAAAACTCTACTCATATAAGTGGTCAGAAAGCGTAGCAAAAATCATTTCATATGAGCAAGGCATTAAGTAGACAGATAGTATACTATAATGTCATTTCGTAGTTTCTCTACAAAAGTATAACAAATAACATGGTATGAAATAATAAATTATTCGTCAGTACTTTGTAGGTATATGTAGTAGAAAAAAATATTCATAAGCAATCATTATTAAGGGTCAAGTAGCCCAGGGCAGAGAGAAGGTTACATCCATTATTTTCTGACCGCAAAATTTCGCAATGAAGTTATGTGAAACAACTGAGTAATAATCATCAGCATTGATCTGATCGATCACCACTATATATTTGACAGTAGATGGTGCTGGATTCTTATTCATCTTAAATGCATTTGATATTGGATAATGAGTGAGGGTGAAATGAAAACCGGAGGCCTACAGGTTACCGGCCCGGTCCTCTACCAACTGAGCTACGAGACCCAGATGAAGACCACACCTAAATTTCACTTCAATCACCAAGGGTTGTGCCAAACTGATGTGAATTCCGTTTAGTCACGTGTTTTCATAGCCCAGTACTGCTCCATTCACTTAATTTTACCCACATACGTGTCCATATAACAGCAGGGTAACTTGTAGATGTACCATAAGGTAGAATTAATGGGACCTTTTTTGTCTTTAATTGTTGGAACTAAGAGAGGTAATCTTTAAATTCAGTTAAGAGATGCAGTATGACCAACCAAAGACTTCTAGCCGTCAACTGTATATTCTGGTCACTTTTAATAAAATATAACCTACTAAAGAGCTTTAACAAGAAAACATTACATTTTGTACACGTTTATTGACTACACCTTAATTCATAGTCTAAATGCCATGGAGTGAAATGGTTGTTTAGATACCTGAATTTTAGACAGATCACAAGACCAATCTTGAAAAAGTAAGGGGATTCATTACTGGAGTAAAACTGCAGTAACAGTAATACTACGGAGGCCTGAGAACCATCTAATTGGTGTAGTGGATGAAGGTAGCCAAGCTTCAAACCAGAAAGTCAAGTCGTTTGCATTCAAAGTCCATATTAGGAGTTTCAGATCTATAATAAAAACGTGTGCAAACACAAAAATGTTAAGTTTTGTAAATGAAGTATAATCAATAGTCCAATACCTCTTAAGTAAAACTGATTGTTAGAATACAGTCTAACGTTGGGGAAAATGGTTCACACATCTATCTATTCCAATGAAAATCGATTTAGTTTTATGTGCATAAAAAGTTGTAAGAACTTTGTCATCGATTACATACTTATTTTGTTGAAAATGTTTCTTTTAAAAATTGAACTATCACCATATTTAATAAGTCAAACTAAATTCACATTTCAGCATTGTCTTACGATCGTAAATAATTACTAATTTTTATTTTTAAGGTGAAAAAGTACTTTAAAGGCAACTTACTGTTGGAACATAGGGAGGAGTTTGATGAACAAGTTTGTCCCAAGCAATAGATTCAAAGAAAGGATGAGACTTTATTTTCACTGGGTCGGATAAACGATCAGCTGGATCTCGGAGAAGTTGGCGTATAAGATTACTTGCATCTGGCTTTAAACGTGGTTCACCGGGTAATTTAAGGTATTTATACCACTGAACAACACGGATCTGAGTATCGGCAGCTGTTTGAGCTAAGAAAGGAGGCTGTCCAACAAGCATTTCGTATAAAATCACGCCAACTGACCACCAGTCACATGCTTGTCCGTAATCTATAAATTGGGTATATCAGATGGTAGGTGTTTCATCAAAAAGAGACATTATAATGTATACAACAAAAAGCCTGATAATCTTCAGTAACTCACCTTGCCTGCGTAATATTTCGGGTGCTATGTAGTTAGGTGTCCCAACCAAAGATTGCGCACAACGACGGTTAGCAAAACTGTTTCTGCGTCTTTCAAGAGTTTTATCGTGGTGTACTCCTCTTATTGCTGTGAAGGGCTTACCATTTGTTTGACGAAGATTTCTCACCTGTTCAAGCGTCCCAATTTCTTCCTTTTCTATGGCTGTGATATCATCTTCATCACATTCTTTGCTGTTTTTTGTGACTTGTTCTTCACTTGTTTTATTTGATTCAGGTGGTTCAGTTGTCTTAGCTCGACTTATTCTGCTACGACTTGGTGAAGAGCATGGTATACTAAAGTCTAAATCCCAATATTTTGAACTATGTGTCCAACGAAATCCAGTACATAAGCCAAAATCTGTAAGTTTGATGTGACCTTCACGATTAATAAGAATATTGTCCGGTTTGATATCGCTGTTCATATAAGAGAAAAAAGTATTTCAGGTAGCATACAAAATTTCGAATATGGTAGAATATACACGAAGAAAACTGATACTACACGATTCATTATAAATATATTTGTAGTGAGTATTTACACACAGTGATGTCACATAATTTTCGTAGTTTTCGTAATTTTCGAAAAATTACTACTCGTGAACAAGAAATATCAGCTACCAGGACAGATAGTATGAAAAACAGCGCTAAACGGTGGCACAACTGTACTGAATTCCTTCATTTGAAGGGAAAATTATTCTGATCATGCATTTTATTTAACAAGAGAAAAATACCCAGCATATTTAATTTAAAGAACTAAGGTTGTGTTTTATTCGGACATAGTAAACACCTCGACTTGTTTATTAGTTCCGTATCGTCTTCATAACATACCTACCGATTATTACTGTCATACTTTGCTTAGGACAATATAATGCCAACAAACGTTTATCATTTAGAAGTTATTCAGGTCAGTGGTTATAAAGAATTCAAGTAAGTTTCAATACCTGATATCAGTTGAATAACTAATGGAAAACAAGTAGCAATGCATAAATCAGAAATGATTATGCGTCAGTGCCGCATTTAAAATAAGTTAGTGTGAAAGACTGTTTACCGAAGTCTAGCAACTCAGCTGCATAATGACAGTACGCTCACCACGAAATTTTAAGGTTCCGAGTGCAATAGATAGTTGTGTTGAGGAGTCCGAAAGTGCCGGGAACAAATCAGTTAGCCATTAAAGTTATTGTCAACCGTTAACTGTGTGAGGATACTACATTATAAAGACAATAGACAAGGGATTTGGGAGGAAATACGAAAATCATGGTACCTGCTCAAAATGTGTAAAAGATTCCTCATCGACAACGAAGAATGATGATTATAAAAACTTCACTTAGTAATGTTAAGTTCTAGTATAGCACGTACATGATGTTATGGAAGTTTCGTTAACTTCTATACTCATAAATAACTATTTAATTACATTCCAGGTATCTTTTCCACACATCTTATGATCACATATTTTTAGAAATATAACTAGTTTCCGTTCTGGTTGTATGATAAAAAAGATTCCCAATCTTAAAGGAGTAAGAAATACTTTCTTATCACTTCTCAGGTTTTGACGGTACGACACGCAGGTGATATAATACAACTGAATTATTATCTTTGCAAGTTTCCAAAAACAGTTTCAATTCTTTACATTGGGTGTTACTACACAGTAAATTGTAATGGATAGCAAAAATATCACTATTACAGTAATCTATACTCAACAGTTTCATGGACATAATCGAAATAAAATCAGCATCAATACCAGTCAGTGCCAGCAGCACCACAGAAGTTCTGGATAATACGAGAACAGGTTTCCATTCAAAGTGTGTGAAATTAGGAAGTTTCACTGCACGTCTATACTAGTTTAGGATTCAAGAAAGAAAAAAGAATGCAGTAAACAGAGTTTTCACTTCACATTAATTTGTCTTAGTATCGGTTACCAGTCAGTTACCTTCCAGTTGAACATTCAACACTAAAGCTATCAAAGATGAAACTGAGTGTATTAGCTGAAATATTTAGCTAAAATCAACATATAGAGTTGTCAAATTTATACTTCCGTGTTTTGCAATCCTAGGAGCTGAGTGATGCTAAGACTGTTAGTCCCTACAATGTTTTTCACTAATAAGAACAATTTCCCGTTAGTGTTTCGACAGTATGGTGATACAAAAGAGTGTACTGACAAGAAATTTTAGAATGCACAGAAATTGTTGCTTAGTAGACGTGACAGTTCTCAAAATTAGTGTTGACTGTTATTGAATACTAATAGGAAAGAGCTTGAAAGCACCGGAAATCCTAAATATTGTGAATAAGAATGATTCATTATTTAAATATTACACCGACATATTAAAATAAAAATTCGGAAGTAGCCACGTGGCAAATAAATTGATGTTGTTATTCCTTTCATCCAACCTAGAACTTACAGTTTATAATATTGATTCTAAAGTGTGAGATACATATTAACCTGTTGACCATTTGTAATCATCCTTCAGTATTCTCTCCTCTACGTTTTGCCAACTTTATCGTACTATTGAATAAATATTCAAATTCTGTATGTATATCCCTAATAGTTTAATCTTTCGGATTTCTAGGTACATGATCAGCCTCAGATGTAATTTCAGTAGACCGTCAACCCATAAAATGTGATACTTAGTGAGCACTAACGTATTAAAGAAAATTATTTAATTGAATAAAGCCAGTCTATCAACATTTATGGTAGCAGCAAAAACTAAAATAAAAACGATAGCAAAACAAGGAATTATATCACTGACCGATGTACGAATCCCATAGCATGAACACTCTGGAGAGCTAACGTCAGCTCAGCAATATAAAATCGAGCTAATGGTTCTTCAAAAATACCCTTTTTGATTAATAACGACATCATATCACCACCTATGTCAAGATTAAGTAAAAAGTTCAAAACCAAAAAAACAGGTTAAGTATTGTACGCATTCGTAAAAGCAGATATTGAAACTGGGGTTTATTATGAATCAAGATTTACTTGAAGATTGCTGAAAAATAAACTTAAAGAAAACTTTTTTTATTTAGGTCCCAGATGTCTGTCTAACAAAATCTCTTCTACGTTTTGAATAGATGAACCTCATTTTTCGAAGTAAACAGATACATTGTAACTTAAACCTAAATGCTTATGAAAAATATTTTCAAGTAATGTCTTGGTACAGACGAAACTACCTTTGGAATTGTATCATTCTCTGTTTTCAGAAAGCACGTTTGCCAATAAAGATTTTAGGACTTTTTATCATAGTCTTACATGACTTTCTTCCGATGTTGGTCACTTGGAAGAAATACAGCTTAGTTTAATTTTAATAAACCAAACATTTTTGGTGTTTTCGAGGACTTACTCTTTCCCTCTTCACCTAATAATGTTTCACGATAACAACAGCTTACTGTGATAGAGTAACTTTGAAGACCAACCTGGTAACAGTTGTGAAATAACCGATTAGGTTTCTCTATTTCATAAAAGACTGTCATCTCAGCTAAAACGACAAGACCTGATTAGTTATTTCAGCAGTTGTTGGGGTGGCCTTTCCGAAAAGCATCTAAATCTGGTCTACCAAATCCAGTAAACAGTGGTGAGTAGCTAACAGTTTATCATGAACCTTTATTACTTAAACAAACAGTCGAGGACATAAAGTATGAAATATTTATCTAATCTTCGTCTTCACCTTGTTTGCAGAAAAATACTTGAGTTTAATCTGAATGGGGATATATCCGTTGTAAGCCGTATTAACAAAAAGATAAGCTTGCAGTTACAGTATTTGAACTTTGGTGTTTAGTATTTGTTGACTCACATGACATTCAGAATGATTCACATTTTGTCGTTTGAAAATATTGACGACAGGAGCTCAGAATCACAAAGTAGTTTCATAGTTATTCATTTAGAAAATTAGTTTGGTTTGAAAAATACTAAAAGTTGTAGTATTTCCAAAGATGAATGCACTCCGTACCTAAAACTATTTGTTTTGCTGATATTCATTTTGCGTAGGAAAGAGTTCTGAAAATTCACCGAAAATTCTTAGTGTAACAAATAACACTCATTTAAGTTTACGAATATGATGAGGAAAAGATTGATAATGTTTTACAAATGTTATACAACTGTTGAAACTCATCAAACACTTGATCCATGTAAGCAGTTTATTTAATCCGGTCTAGGTAGGAAATCGCTAGTTATATACCTCACTATGTTTATAATTTCTATTATCCTGATAATTTCATGTCTTTGTTGTTAGAAACATCCACATAACAAAAGATTATCACGCTCTAGCCTTCTTCGAAGCAGTTAAGTATTAGGCCAACATTGGGTAAGATATTTATGTCACTATAGACCACGTTTTAATTACATTATAAAAACAGTGGGTGAACATCAGATATTCTACGCAGAATCCATGCAACATTTCTAAATGGTTACAAGTTTTCCACTAAACAGAAACAACAGAATTGAAGTATTATGCATTCGGAATGATATTTTCTTACCAGGAATATATTCCATCACTAAGTAAAGTGCACGGGAATCCTGAAATGAGAAAAACAATTTGACTACCCATTCGTTGTCTGCTTCAGCGAGAATATCTCTTTCAGCTTGTACGTGCGCTAGCTGTCGACGTTCCACAACATCTCTTTTATTCAGTAACTTCATAGCGTATAATTGATTGTTATCCTTTTTACGTACAAGCCATACCTTGCCAAATGCCCCGACACCTTTAGTTTCAAAAAGTGAAGTGTGACAGAACATTGTTTATTTATGTAGCATATACTACAAAATACAGATGAACAGAGCTTTAAACGCAATGAAAAATCCTTCTAGTAATCGAATTGTTCTCAAAATGAAACAGTCTAGGACTATAAAACATAGTCCACTTTTCCTCACATTCCTTGAAAAAACCAAACAATGCATTATCTGAATTTCACCAACCTTATGCAAACAAATTAAGGTTACGCACTCCTAAGGGTATATGATCATATATAAAATGAGAATTAATTCCTAATTCAGTTATATTATCATTTTGATTACCTGCCATGGTTTGGCAGACTAATATTGATACTGGGTGATGATTGAAGGTGCAACGGTAGTCAGGTAAAATCCTTGGTGATTGAAGCAAAATAAAAATCTAGCCAGCATCCAGACCTCGTATCTTAGTTGGTAGAGCATCAGGTCGGAAACCTAGTGGTCACTGGTTCGAGATTTCAATTTCACCTTCAATCATCACCCAGTATCAATTCAGTTATACTCCGTGTTAATAAAACCAATCAAAGAAGGTAATTTGTGCGTCAACGATAACAAGGATGCAGATGGTGTACTTTAGAATGATTGTTGGTAAAAACAGATAATACGAATAATGAGAATGACATGACAATGTAAACAGGTGTTCAGACAGACAGACAAAGTAGGTCAAAGACTGACAAAGGACTGTAAGGTTGCGTAGTACTGGAGGATGAAGGCAGTGAATAAATAAAGACGGAATGTGAAATGCGTGACAAAAATGAAATAAAAATGGGAAGAAGTACATTTTAAAGTTCATAAGTAAGGTCACTCACTAAGATTTCCCAACCAAAGCAGAGATAAAGGCTGTACAAATTTCTTCTGAATACAGAGCTTTGGATTGTTCATTCGAATTCCTACAGCCTCAGATATATGTGAAAGGAGAATTCGAACTCCATCGGAAAGGTTCGGTTGGATCCGGTAAACTACTTTGAACGCTTTCATTTTATCCACTTTGTAAGCACTATCAACCAGATGAGAAAAAATAGAGCTTCTTAGATTTAACCTGTCTTTCTCCCAGTTACCAGGGTACGTGTTCGGTAATACGCTGGTTAAGTTGCCTAGTCGTAAGCCCTATATAACTGTCTCCACAGGAGCGATTAAACTAGTAAATACACATGGAGGTTACGAAACTAGGTAGCTTGTCCTTCCTTTGACATGAAACGAACCGTCAACTAGAAAACGAGATAGAGATTAGCTTCATGAAAAGTTCTTTAAATGGTCCTCTATAGTCTGCGAAATAGGATCTCATTAGATATATCTTCATTTTAGTGAATTGTAGCTTTACGAACAGTGGTTTCTTTCAAGCAGCTGCTGCTTCAAGTCGTCTACCAGATCAGTTGTCAGGATAACCTGTTTTAATTACTGAACTCCAAATGGATTTTAACTCTCTTTAGAGTGACATCTGGGTAGCTATTCCTTGCTCTGGTTGTTAAACAATTCGCTGTATGGGTGTGGAACTAAGGAAGTGTAGGTATAAACATGGAGATTCGCTTCTTCAGTGAAAGCTTCTGCAAAGTGATCCAGCTCCTGGTCTACTTAACAGAACGTCAAGAAAATTTAGCTTATTGTCCCGTTCTTTTTCACAAGATAAGGGTGTATGTAGTTAAAATTTCTCAATGGTTCGTTCTTATTCATATTCTGATCAGTGATAATAAATGTATCATTCACTTATCTATGATACTTTTCTAGCTTGTTGATGTCATTCTTCAATGGTTTATTCTGTAGTTAGACCAGGAAGAAGTCTGCAGGGACTGGGCCTAACTGCAAGCCCATTGTCATTCCATCCATTTGTCTATAGCATGCATTCCTGAAAACAAAGTGCACGCTCATTGTACGTGTAAGAAGTAATTCCTTAAGGTTAGACTCAGGAACTCAAATGCTGATTAGTTTTGTTTCACTTGTTGACATATGAAATCAACTGCCTCAGTGAGCCGAAGACTGGTGAGTAACGACGATACATTCAGTGATATACTGGGCTTTCCACTCACATTCAATTTTATCACTTTGGAAATGAAATAGAAGACACCCTTCATACCACATTTTACAACTAGTTTGTAAAGGGGCCCTAAGATCTGGATCAACCACTTTGTGACTTTACGATATGGCAACTAATACATATCTACGACTGGACTGAAGGGAAGTTAGGGTTTTTGGATTTTAGGAAGACCATAAAGCCGTGGTATGCTACAGTCTGTGCGCTTCGGTGAGTTGGGCAACTCTACTGACATTATACTTGTTTTTTTTCAGTTCTTAAAGACAGTTAGTCAAACTGTTTCCCGCCCTCGCATTCAAATCTCTAGAATCACTGAGCTTTTTGAACTTAGTTTGATCACTCAGAAGGGAATTCATTTTGTCTAGATAACCCATCTTGTCTAACAAAACTATACCTCCTCCTTCCTCCAGCTTACTCATAACTAGCTATTCATTCTTCTTTCTCTTTTGAAAAGCTTCTCGACGTTGTTTCGTCAACAAACTGATGCTAGAACCCCCACCATTTTCGTATACTTGGAAGCCGTCTAGTTACTTGGTTTTTAACCTGGTCAGTTAACTATCTGATGATGTAACCAAGGCAGGTGTTTGGGAAAACAAGCTATCAAATTGTATATCAATATCAGGTTCACTGACTTTCTGTGCGTGACCACTAAATTTGGAGCCTAGAGTATTTAAAGTATTTAAATGACAAGAGGTTTAGGTTAAACAATGGAGATTGAAGAAAGTTAACACACTAAATATGAAGTAATTTTCCAACCAAGGCAGATAAATGTGAAGCTGAATACTAGTTGAAAATTATGAATATGGAGTAAAATGGAATTTATACTGGATGATGATTGAAGGTGAGATGAAAATTTGAACCGCGACTGGATTTGAACCAGCGATCACCGGATTTCCGGCCCAATGACCTACCCGGTGGTCGCTGGTTCGAATCCAGCTGCGATCCAAATTTTCATCTCACCCTCAATCATCACTGCGGTATAAATACTAGTCTGCCAAACTATGGCTATCTCGGATAGTCAAATGACAAGACGAAATTTGTTTGGATACGGAAAGGAGAAAACCTTATTATTCAGCAAGATAAAAGCAGTTTATGTTTAGATAATAAAGAAAATTGTACATTTAGACCATTAGGTCACGAGAAAGAGAAAGTATAAAGAAGTGTTGAAGTTGCGTATATATTTATAATAGTTAAATAAACCTAATTATTTTCTTTTCGTGTGCAAATGATATAGTGCACACAGCAGTTTGAATAAACTGCATAAATTAGTCTCCGAAAATACTTGGAAAGCATTGATTATCAGATGCAGAATTGAGCTCTTTCATCCAGGTTATGATTTTTCTTGAACACTGTGACGTGACTTCACTGTATCAAATGGTAATTTTTAAAAAATCATCGAGCCTATAAACAGTCAAATTATGATTAACCATCTGTACAATTTGACACTGACATTTCATTATAGAATGAAATTTAATGAATTTGAAACTCCTCAGAAGTCGTAGAGATTTCAAAACTACTGAGTTAAATTCGTCTATCTTTTACCTGACTCCAAAACGTGAAATATTGCATAACCAAGTATTGAAGTCATCTCAGTCATGCTTCCTGCAGTGGGATATGCTGAGAACACTGTCTGAGACGCAGTAGGTACATATTTACCTTCTAAACGGTTGGAAAACAAGTCATACAAAATAGTTTTCGCGCGACCATTTCAGTTGATAAAGTATACGGCAGAACTTTTCAAGAAAATACATTATGCCTAAGCTGAAGGTTAATGCAAACTCATAACGTAAGGTTGTCCGTGACTTATTTAGATGATGGAAAGCTTAATAACTTTTCTTTTTGTTGTGACTAAGTGATCAGTTTTCCATGTTATCAACCAATATAGGCAGCTTTAAGAACATAAATTCGTCTACAAGAGGATGCATCTCAACAGCTTTCTTTAGGATATTTTCTAAGAAGGAAATATGTTGCTTACTGTATAACCTCATACAACAAATACACTGCGCAAATTGGCTGCGAAAAATCATTCTATGCAACAGACGAGTGGAAATACTAATAGCATGGTTCCATACCATAATTTCCATAGCAAACTACACCAGCCTATATATATATATATATATATATATATATATATATATATATATATATATATATATAGTTGAATGGCGGACAGGTAAGATTTGAATGTAGCATCATCGTAAATATCATAGTTTCAGAATTCATTTGTACTACTTTGGAGTTGTACGACTCTTATCTGTAAGTTATCTTATGGTATAAGTTGGTGTTCAAAAAATATGATGGCATGTTGACAATAACTAGAAGCTAGGTACTAGATTATAAAAATTGTTTTTAAACCAAGCTCTTCTTGCATTGGAACAAATACCTTGGTGTGTTCATTACTACATAAAATCTTATCGACAATAATAGTGTACTTCAAGGGCAATCACTTCGCACCACAAGTTGAAGTAGCTCATGGTATCTTTGAAAATGAAACGTCCAGAGCAAAGTATGCAGCCTATCTAAGGCCAACGGTAAAGCCTAAATAGGCTGTTAACATTCTCATTGTAGTGAATACCAAATGTAATTTGAGTCCATACACATTACATATTGAGAAAAAAGCAACTAGTCAGGTCAAGTTATTTATAATGCAAACTGTCTTTCATTGCATGCATACAATCTTTCTGAAGTTATCGTAAAGGGCATGAATACCATAAGCCATAAGCTTAATTTAGATGAACAATGATCAATCACATTCAAACTAGCATGAACAGAATATGCAGAAAAATTTCATGATACCTACAATATTTGAAATGTGTTTCCCTAAATTTTGATTAAATTCTTGAAAATTCTTAGACATAAAAAAATTTGATTATAGCAGTAGATGAACAACAGGTGTTTTAAACCGAATGACATATAAGCATATTGAATTCACAGTCTTCATGT